GAAAATCGAATAAAACAGAATAAATGAAAAACAAGTATTCCTGACGAAATAAAATGCCCAAATGAAAAGCTCAAGCGTTGAAAAAAAGAAAGAGTCAGGAAAAAGTTTAGTAAATCGGAATAATGCATGATAATTAAGAATTTGAAAGAAAACGGAAGAAATTCTAAAACAGTCCGGAAGAACGAAACGAAAGATAGAAAACCTAATTGTTGGCATAGGTCCACGTAGCGATTGCTAGAATTGATATGCGAGATTTTCCGCTATCGTCTATTTATATTGTTTAATTATTTTCATAAAACCGCATTTTGTTTTTTTTTTAAATCGTTCAGGAAATGAATAAATGCATAAATGAATTCGATAAATAAAATTTTGAAAAATAATTCTGGAAATTTTGAATTATTTGAGAAAAGAAAAACAAAGAGAAAATTTTGACAGATCGAAATTTTGGCTGCGACAATTTTGGATCATATCAAACTGATTAGAACCTGAAATAATTTAGAAGACGGAAAATGAATAAAGTGCAAGAGAGAAAATCACAGTCATAAACCGGCTGAAAATTAATGAACCGAAGCATTCGCCAGACCTTTTACCAGAATCATAATAGTTGATAGAAAAAAAAAAGAAATAAAAATAAAGAACGATTGGGTGAATTTACAGATGGTTTGGGGTACAGAGTACGGTAAAGTATACCTTTTCATTTTTTCTAAAAATTAAAAGGAAACAAAGTTATAAAATAAATTTTGATTAACTTTTTATCATGAATTTTTTTGAAAATTTCCTCAAAATTATGCAAAGTTCGAAAAAATTGAAGCATATCTAAATTGAAAAATTAAAATTGAATAAAATAAATCAAAAAAATTGGAAAATTAATGAAAATTGATGGAGAAAAAATTGATGAAATTTTAAAATAAAAAATTTAATTTTTGTTACTTGAATGTTTTAAAAGGAATTTTTTTTTTTTAATTTGGAACTATTTTTGTAAATTAATATCATCTCAATAATGTTCAACAGCAATTGAAGTTCCTGATAAAAAGATGATAGAGAAAAGTTTTTTTTTTTTTTGAGAATTGATGATTGAATGTTTGAAAGTGAAGTAATTAACTGAAAATTGGACGTCGAACAATAGTGAATGACTAATTAGAAATTAGAGATGAAATAATTAATAGTTATGATTCAATAAAACAAATAAGTATAGAAATTCTTTTAATGCGAAGAAAAATGGATATGCTAAAATTGACAAATAAATAAAGTTATTTTTTCAATGTGCTTTCAAAGTAACATTCCTGATTGATTACATTTAAAAGTATGATGCATTCAGTAATATTTGGCGCTTCTGGCATAAACAGCATTTCTCATCAACAGCGCACAATCTGAAACTGTAATGATATCATTGTAGGGTGGCGCTTGATATTTCTATAAATAACAAAACATACAGATGTGATAGATAGGTGGAAAAGGAGAAATTGTAGGAAATCATTCAGAATGATAGACGATGAAGTGGAAAATGATATGAATTGGAAAAATCGGGTTGTTTGGTTTCGCGGATACTGATGTTAAGCTCAATTCATTAACAGTAATAATAATTAATAATAGTAATAATAATAATAATAATAATAATAATAATAATAGTAATAATAATAATAATAGATGATAATAATAATACATCATTAGCTGTTCCTTTTTTTAGCTTTTCTTTTCTCTTCCTCCCTTATTTTTCTCTCATTCTTAAAGTAATTTTTTCTTTACTTTTACCAATCCCTTCATTTTTCTTTCGATCTTAAATTTTTTTTGATTTCATTTTACACAATGCTGAATATTTAATTATTCATTGAAAATGTTAAAATAATATTTTATATTATTTATAGTTACTAGTTAAAAGAATATGTGTAAAAAAAATGAATAGAAAAAAAAATATATTACGAATGAAATATGCTGGAAAACGTAGCAAGAAAAATGAATGGAAAAGAATTGAAATGAAATAAAATTAAATTGAAAATTGAACGTAGCAATTAGTTGCTATGGTAATTGATATTAAAATAAGGATGAAAAAGAAAATAAACTGTTATTCAAAATGAAATAAAGATCAACTTTATCGATACACCACTCTTTTTCTTCGATATTTCAAAAATATATATTTATTTATTACCATCATTTCAAAACGATTACTTTAATTTACTCAAAAGATAACTGAGTAAATATTTAAAGTGTATAGCAGCGTGAATTTGGATAAAAAAAATCAAACAAATTTATTTTAAATTTTTTTTCAAACAAATTTATTTTAAATTTGTTTGAAAGAAAAAAGGAAAAAAAATGTAGTAGAACTTACTTTTTGTTGCAAAAAACTTCGTTAAAAAAAATCAGATTTATCTATCGGTTTTTTTTTTTTTTCCAGTAAAAATTTACGCTATTATCCATTGATATTATTATTATTTATTACTTATTATTATTACTATTAATCACCATTATCATTATTAATATTATTATAGCTTTCACTATTGAATAATGAAGAGATATGAATTATTGTTTTATGTTTGCTAAATATCTTTTGTCAAAGATTTTGAAAATTTACAAAATTTGTAATAATTTCTTGGACTGAAGTTTTTCTTTTTCTCTTTTTTTTCTTGAAAAGTTATTATTTGTTTGCTAGGAAGAGAAAAGAATTAAGAAATTAGATATGAAAAAAATGCCAATTTGTATATATAATAAAAAGTATGATATAAATATAATAAATATTAGTTGGCATTTTTTACTTGATTGTTAACACAAATTTATTTACAAATTTAACAGTGCAATAAAAAATATTTTTAAAAAATTGGAAATTCATTTATTAATAATATACTTACATATTCACCACTAACTACTTGTAAAAATATTAGTCTTTTTATTTTAAAAAAAAATTATGAAGTAATTTAAATTTCTAAATATTTATATTAATATTTTTCAAATTCTTGAAATGCGTGATTTTATTTTTTTTTATTTCAAAATATATATATCTAAAGAAATGCAAAATCTGAGCTGAATAATATTTTTGCTAATATAATTTTCCACAGACTCATACCTATCCAATGTGAACTTAACACACAACAATACATCAAGTGCAAATTGATCAATCGCTGAATTAATTTTTCTGTGATATGAAACAACATTTATGATATTTTTATCAATTAAAAAGAAAAGAAAAGAATAAATTGTCTCAAAATGTTTTACAGAGGAGAATCATTTTTTGCTAAATGATTTTATCTATATAAAAAACGTTTAATTATTGAGAAAGCAGTGAGAAATTTATTGAATTTAAAAAATTCGAAAAAATTTTCTAACAATAAGATGCAATATTTTATAATGATATTTTAGTATATATGTATTGTAATATTTCAGTTTTTTATTTTTTAATATAATTTTTTTTTTTTGCTTCTAAATATATATTACAATATTTTAAAATAGAATTTAACATGCAAAATATGCTTGCTTTCTGAAATTTGATCAAGTTACTGAAATTTAATTCAATGTCATTTTGACCTGGAATAGACTTTTATTACATATATTTTTTTTTTAAAAAAGAAAAAACGTGATTTGATTTTAAATTTGTCAATTTCCTAGCTATAGTATGAGAAAGTGCGAAACTGACAACGATTTGAAGTGTTTAATTTTTTTTTAACTGAACAACATCTTCCAATTAATTTGTTTAAAATTCGTAAAAGTATTTTTGCTGTCAAATATCAACAATTTAAATGGTTTGAATTTTGAGAAATTCTTTTCCAAAAAGAAAAAAGCAGAATTTAAAAATAAAATTCTTCATAAAATGTTGGAAATATTATTTGAAAATTTGTAATTATCACGAATGCTCAACTTTTAGTTCCTTTTTTTATTAAAAATAAAGATCAATTGCATTTTTTCTGAATAATAGTATTATTTTCTACAAAAGTAGAAAAAAAACTTTTATAAAAGAGCATTTTTCATTCACATTTTTCGAATACTAACCAATTGTTTTTCTTTTTTTTAATAATATAAATTATATCATTTATGAAAAGTGAAAATAAACATTTCACAAATAAATATGCTATATCTTTGATAATGCTTTTTTAAACAACATATTAACAAAAACAATGAAGTATAATTTCAATTTATAATTTCATAATTTAGAAAACTTTGTTTTCGAAAAAATTTTGCTTTAGAGTAAAAAAGTAATACTTTCTTATTCATATTTTTTTTCTCTAACCTTTACGTAAAAATATAACTTGAAAAAAAAAACTTTTATATAATGCAATTCCAAAAATTTTAAATCTTTGACAGTTTTCTTTTCATTTTTTTCTGCTTTCTCATTTTCTTTTTTTGGAAATTTTTTTTTTGAAAATATTTAAAAAAGAAATACCATCAAAAGTAATAAAATTTTAAATTAAAAAAGAAAAATTATTGTTTTTACTCATTAATGTCAATCAAATTTTGTGATCAAATAAATTATTTCTAATAATTAAAAGAATTTTCCAATGCAATCTTTAATTTAACAATTGCATAAATTTGGTATAAATCAGAAACTATTATAATTTCAGTTGACACAAAAACATATTTGTAAGTTGTAGAATAAACACATACCGGAAAGTAAATTTATACTGGAAACGCCCAATTCCTTTTTTATCCCTTTTTCAATTTCCCATTTTTTGCTTAATGAGTGGAAATAATAAGTGTCATATATCCCTGATAGAAAAATCAATTTTTTTTCTCAAACAAAAAAAAAAAAATTAATTGAGAAATTGAAATAATAAAATCCATAGTTATCAGGTAAATAATATATTTTAAAATAGATTTCTTAAAAAAATCTTTTCATTACCTCTTTTTTTCTTCACATTTTTTACCTTTCAATACATTTTTTTTTGTCTTATTATCAGAATATTTTTTATACTTTATTTTGAAATATCTTAAAATATTTTAAAATAAAGTACAAAAATTGTTCGAAATAAATTTGTCAATTTTTGCTTTTTTTTTTGAATTTCTTTTTTCAAACGTTAATTATTAATTGTATTTGCATTACAGTCATTATATTCGCCATGAACAACATTCATAATATAATACATGAGAAATGTTGTAAATAGTAAGGGTGAAAAAATTTGCGTGAAATAATCTAGGCGTTGATATAATCGTATTACTTGTCGTTTTTTTACGCGAAAAATTTCACGCTCAAATTCATTTGCAGCTTCCAAACGTCGTTTTTCCTAAAAAAAAAATTTTTTTAATTTTTAAACAATTTTTTAACTTTTTTAATTTTGTTTTTTATTTTTTAAATTTCTCTTGGAATCTTCTGAAATTTTAATTTTTGTTCTTTTTTTTTTCTCAGAATTAATATTACTATTACTATCTATAAAAATTACTGCTGTAAATATAAGCTATTATGAATAATATAATAATTGTAAATAACAATAATAATAATAAAATAATGATGAATAATAATAACTATAATAAATTTTCTTAGTCATTCTTATTTATTTTTTTCATAAAATGAGTAATGATTATTGCTAATTAGCTACGACATACGATATATATGCTTGAAAATCTATTTTTTTTGTTCCAATTACAATCGATTTATTTTAATTAATTAATTAAGTGAAAAAAATTTTTTTAAATAAATAAAGTTAAAATAAAAACAGTGAAAATTTTACAATAGCTCTAGTAGCTCTTATAAGTGCTAAAACGACGACTGATTCAAATAATGATAAAACGGTAAATATTTTCATTGCACGAAACCATATATCCAATGGTGTAATATAATTGATATGGACATGTTCTTCACCTCTTTCCATTTGTACCAATGTTAAAAGTACATTAAAAAAAAGATTAAATAAATATTTATCATTTAATTTAATTAAATAGTTAATTCTCTTATAATATTTTGTCTTAATTTACTTTACTAATAAAGAAAATTTTAAAATTTAAAAAAAAAATATTTCCCTTTTTTGTTTTAGTATCTAATAATTTTTTAATTGTTTTCCTAAATAATAAATTTAAATGAAAAAAAAAAAATAAAAATAAAAATGTATTTAACTAACAGAGATTGGTGTAATAATTCGTACTTCCTCATAGTTATATGGCACAAATGGTGCAATCCATGCAAAAAACATTGCTAATGAACTTGGTATATATTTTTCAATGATAAAACGTGCACCGGTACGTTTTAATTTGAATAAAACACGAAGACATGATGAAGGCACTTGAAAAAATTTTTAATTTATTTTGGAAATTAATTTACATTTCAATGCCAATAAATTTTACCGTTAATTTTTACTAATTTCAATTATTATTGGAAATTGTGTGTGAAATATGAAAAAATTAAAACTAATTAATGCAAAATTTTTAAAAAAAAATTTTTTTTTGGTGTAATACTTTAATATATGAATGAAAGAAAGCATAAATTTAAAAATATGATTAATAAATTTATTTTTTATTACTATATGCTTCTACATGTGTGCATGTTTTCACGTGATATGTCTAATATATGAAAATATTTCATTCGAATTTTTATGTTTCTCTATTGATTAAACTTAAAGTTCCATAATTACATTAAAATTAAAAAGAATAAATTTAAATGAATTAAATCAAACATTGCTTACATAATTTTCCATCTACAACACAATGATGCGTATGTACGGATACAAGATTGAAATCAGGTGACGGATGTGTTGACATTAAATTTATTGGATTTGTTGAAAGCCAAGAAAATCGGACACTTGATGGTATATGTGATACTTTAAAAGTTATATATATTTCGTTTTTTTTTTTTTGTTTTTCGTTCAAATTTAAACTATTAATCCTTTTTATTCAAATCTAAACTATTATTTCAGAACTAACTTATTGCTTGGTATTAAAAAAAAAAAAAATTGGTGGAGAAAGAATTGGAAGGAGAAATATATTTTTTTATATATTTTTTTAAAAATTTATAAAAACTATTTAATATCTAGAAAATTTTTTATTATTAATTTAATCTTATTTGAAATAATGGTTAAAAGAAAAAAGATAGGATTTAAGAAATGCGATTTGTTACACTTAAAAACATCACGTAGATTTATTTACCTAACTTATATTGCTTCAACTTTACGTACGTAAGAAAGGATGTAAAACTAACGCGAACTAATCATAAGTTCACATTGTTGATCATCATGTGGAAATTGACAAAAAACCATGTAACACGATGGTTGTAGTGTTATTCTTAAATGATATGATAAAAAGTTTTGATTAAAATTAGTGATCAAAATAAGAATTAATAAATTAGAAAAATTTGATAATATTGTAAAAATGATAAAACAAAAAACGAATTCAAAAAATTTTATAAACAATTTTAAAATATTAAGAAAATACACTTGATAATAAATATTTTCATTGCTGAAATCGTTTTTTTTTTTTTTTTTAATATCACCTCATGGTATAAATTACTAAGCCATTTGGACTTATTAGCATTCGAAAATTTGGAAATGAAACATAATGGAAATGTGAATGTTTAGAATTAACAAAATACGGATCAGGTTTCCATATTTGATCCAAAATTCTTTTTTCCCAAATCCGTATCCATTTTGTATAATTGTTCATTAAACGTGAATCAATCCAACTCATCTGCATTTCAAAATCTTAAAAAAAAAAACGAAAAAATAAAAACAAAAATTAAAGATATTTTTGAAATTTGGAAAAAAATTATTTTATTTCTTTTTACTAATAAATAAAAATAAATGAATAGATAAATAAATAAACACAAATATGAAATTTCCTTACCGATAGAATAATCCATATTTTTTGAATCAAAATTAGCTAAATGAATAATCTTTAGAGCAAAACTAACATCAACTGGTAAATCTAGAAAAAAAATTTTTTTCTTAAATCAATATCATTTAAAGGAAAAAAAAAATGTTTTTTTTTTTTTTTTTATTATTCCAAAAGCATATGTTATACATTAATTTTTAATAATTTTTCCTTTCCTTTCATATTTTAAATTTTGTTTTCATTTATAATTTTTTTCGTTCTTTTTCTAATATTTTAGAGCAAAAATTTTGAAACAGAAGTTAAAAAAAGAAAAAAAAAACAAACAAACCGGAAAATGTAGTAGGCACAGTGTTATTATCATAATTTATAGAACGCAAAATTGGCAGAATGTAACTACTTCCATAATGGCTTAATATAAAAGTAATAAAATTATGGAATTACTCATTGTTTATCTTTATCTTTTTCATTTTTTTTTTTTTTTTTTTATAAATTTTGAATTATCAGAAAGTTGCAAATACATCTAAAAATAATTTTTTTTTCTTTCTTAAATTAACAAAAAAAAATATATATATATATATATATATATATATAGAATATTTACTTTTGCTATATTATATTTCACTTTAAATTAAAAGTAGCCTAAAACGCTTGCATTCATAAAAAATTCACTTCTATTTGTAAAATGTAATTAATTTTAGTATAACATAAATTATGGTTGAGGTAATGATATCTCAACCATAATTATTAGTCCTTGATATAATTTTTGAATATATTAAATGAAAATATTACGAACAAAAGAAGGAAAATCTTCCAAAGAAAGTGCAAAATTTAAGACTTAAAGAAATAAATTCAAATAAAGAAATAAAGAAAAATTCAATTGATATATTTTTGTTTCTATAATAACTAATTATAGCATAAAAAGTTGTAAAACAAATAAATATTAATTAATTCAAATTTGAAAATGTACAATTATAATGTAAAATAATATTAATTATAATTATGGCATAGTGGATGTAATTATGGCATAAATATATACTAATGCAAATTTAAAAATGTTCAGTTCAGAAATGATTTTAAATTGGATGGTGATGAAATTTTAATTACCTGTCACAAATTCCGGTGCAATCATCCAAATTATTTAAATTTGACATCAAATTTAAAATTATTACTTTTTTTCTGTCACTTATCTCAATATTTGGCTTGTTAATCAGTAGATTGGTAGAATGAATAGTATCGGGACGAGTAATAATAATTTTCATACTTTCATCTTAAAACATAAATATCAATCGACATAAACCTAAACATTATTTACTGACCAAAACAAATAATTCGAATAAAAACAAAAGTTTAAAAAAATTTTAAACTGATTACTATTTATTAAATATATTCATTCGTTAGATTTAGTTTTATTAATTATATGTGTTTTTTTTTTTTTTTCCATAAAATTTATATTCAATTGCGTTTTCGTTTACGATATATTTTTTTGAATATTTACCATTTAAAAAAAAAAAAAGCCATTACAATCTATAAAAAAGAACAAGGCAAATATTACATAATCATTAATAAATATATCTAATTAATTTCAATTCTGTTTTTTTTCTTTTGAAATATATATGAACTGTACTAATAATTTAACTTGAATGAAGAATGTTCAATTTATATAAACAACTTAACCTTCGCTACTTTGTGTAAATGATTATTAACCTTTATATTCATTATTACTTCCTTCAATAATCATTTCTTTCGAATCAATTGATGCTAATGAATTAAGCTTCTCCATTTCGTTAGCAAAATTTGACACCAATCGTTTATCACTTTGACCTATAATAGATTTCATTTTATTATGAACGATTGATTAATAAGTAAAAATATTGAATAAAAAGAAGAAAAAAAAGGAAATCGAAAATAGTAGTCTTATAATAAAACTTACTCATTTTAATGGTAAATAATATTAATACAAATAACCCTTTCATATCTGCAAATAACCGATATAATCCAAATCGTTATATTATTTATTCATTTGTTAACATTATCATCACTTTAATATAGCAAAAGAAAATTAGGAAAAGTGAAAGTAATAAATCAAAAAAAAGACCAAATTAAAAGAAAAAATTAATTTATATAAAAAGGAAAATTTTCACGTTTTTTTCCCTTTTTTTCTGTTTGCTAATAAACGTAATTTATGTCAGTTATTGATTTTATTCATAAATATTTATAAAACAAGAAGAATGAGACGAAGAGAATGTCATTGCTGCGATTTTATTTAAACAAAAAAAAGCAAATTTCATTTTTTCAGTGGTATGACAAAATCTTGTTTTGTTACACAATCTTAATTGTAATCATACAATTTTCTTTTGCTTTTTTTTTAAAAATTGATCTGATCTTTTTCTTTTTCCTATTTTTCTTCACACTTATCGCCGTGTTGAAATAATCAAAAATTCTCAGTTTAAATTTTATTGAAACAGACTTGCCATTCATTTTTCATTAATCTTTTTTATACACTTCATTTCATGATTACAATTTCCAAATCTTAAAACTTCCTTTCAAGATTTAAAAGAAGACTTACTTCTTTTTCTTTCAGCTAAATAAAAATGATAAGTACGATAGTTGAAAATTAGATTAAAATATAACCGATAAAATATTTATTGCTTAAAGTAGATGAGTCAAATCATGAAATGATAATTGTTCCAAGCTTAATTCCCATAATGCTCAATTCTTCAACTGTATGTAATCATATGATTATACATGTTCAATCAAAAAATGTAAAGAAAATTTATGTTTCAAATTGATATCGAATAAATTTTGCGCCTGACAGAATGCATTATCAGTTTTCTCATTTGTCAAATTGTTTTCGTAATTTGGTGTCATTAAAATGAACATAATGTTCATTCACCTCTTATCTTGGTGTAAAATTCACAGCAGCATTATCATCAATTCAAAAAAAAAAAACAAGAAATTTTCTTTAAAAACTGATATGTTTATTAGTTTATCATTTCTAGCTTTATGTTATGTTATTATATTTTTTTTGTATATCATAATAGTTGCTTAGTATTGCTGCATCTCTATTCAGTCGTTATCAAATAATCATATTGTAATTAATTACATATACAAAATGTACATTTTGCGGAAGTTAATTAAATTTTTTATAACACAAAACATAACATAGAGCTGGAAGGAAAAAATTACTAAAACAGAATGCATTTGGTTCGCAACAAATTATGAATGGAACTATTGAAATCATCAAACAAATAAATCTATTCCTTCACTTATTCAAAAACTGTTTAATTCGCCTAGGAGACGACTAACACTAACACTGGAATGAGAAGTAACTTCACCATGAATATGTGGTAAGACACGAATAGAATTAAGAATAAATTTGAAAAAGAAAAGAACGAAAAAATCTGCACCAAATTTGCACCTGGTTTAAGAGAAAAAAGTGATTAAGACACTAAAGGAGATGGAACACAGACGGTTTCTAAATGAAGCTTGTTAATAAACACAGAAAACCAGTGAAAGACTACAAAACAATACTTTAATTCACTTATAGCTGTTTAGTGGTTGGCCTAATTTTAAAAATCACAGAAGTGACAAATATTAGAACAGGAAGTTGCAGAAAATCAAAATCACTTACAGGTAACAAGATTATGTGAAAAATCTATGAAATAAAGAACCGAAAATTTTGCATGACTTAACACAAAACATTCCGCTTCTGAACCTGGAATACCAAATAAACCAGAAATTAGAGTGATAAAATGGACTAGAAATAAAAATTTCACCCTGAGAAACCTAAACTAATGCCAGCTAAACGGAATATTTGAGCAAGACGAGACTGATCCAATGGTGGTCGATGTCGATCAAGTTTAAACGCAGTACAGGAATGATTACGAGAAAAATACTGAGGAGCATCGTAAATTGGATCCCTTATACGGTTGTCGATGGGTATTATATGACCTTCAGTTGTAAACATGATACGTTCTTCATTACGATTCACTGCATTGTTTATATCGAACAACTAAAAAAGTGCCAAAATTTCATCACGAAAATTGTTTTTTTTTTTTTTTTTTTAGAAAATATAAAGCAAATTTTGAACAAATAAGAAAATCAAATACTCAATAACAACAACTAAATCCTAAATTTGGCTAAATACAGCTCGCGATCACACAACATTATTTACCAAATATAGATATTTCACAGTTTCAGAAAGGAAAAACGATTCCATCCGATCCTCTAACGATTTATCGACAACATTGTGCACGGTAGCATAACCACATTTCACTTTTGCAAACGTGTTAAGAGATTGAAGAATGTCAAAACCAACACGAAGATAAAAGGGATTTTGTGTAGCACGATACAACATATAAGTTGATTCAGCCAGTTCTGGTCTTAACGGATAAAAATATACATCAGGTATCCTTAAAAAAAACACATGTCAAATATTTTGCAAACTATTCTTATCACGAAATACCTATGAATCAATAGAAGTAATTTTCACTTACTTTAAATGCCAGTTGTATCGTTCAGGAAGAGCATCATATCGCTTCCACAATGAATAATATATGGCATGAATGCAAACTGCTTCATCAATATCACCATTTAATACTTGAACAGCAGCAAAACTAGCCTGTGAGCAGTAACATATTAAAGTAAACGAACAACAATTGAAAAAGTCAAAATTCAAGTTAAATCATCCTTTCGCCCAACCATATTACAAATAACATTGGTTGAGAAATGAAGCGAACAAATAAACGTAGAATGTAACAAACTTGTAAAGCATCTATCCAGGTATTTAGTAGTGAACCATCTCGCATATCAACGTTTACATACATTGGCGTTTCTCCCTCACCTAAAACGCAACGATCACGGCCACGTCGTAATTGACTTATTATGAGCGCATACGCTTCCTGTATATTACGACATGTATAAATTTATTGCCTTCTTTTTGGAATAAAAAAATTATCACAAGCACTGCTCCCTTTATGTCATTAATACCGCTAACGACCGTTAAAAGAAAAATATTATGAATTGCAGTGTTAAGACTCATCTCACATTCCGTATTCTGTGTTGTACTTTCTCAGATACTGAACGCTTTTTTTTTTTCTTTTTCGCCAAACATACCGGGATAGAATACTCAGAAAGGAAGCTAATAAAAAAAAAAATAGCATGTTTCTCTCACTTTTAAATTTTAAAATATCACAAAAATAATAATTGAATTTGCTATAGAAGGAAACTGCTATGTTAAAATATTTCATAAAACCATACAATACCTGGAACATCCTCAAGTCCGTCTCAACACCGAAAAGAACGAAAGCTTTAAGCAAATACTCATAAAACGAATCAAGGCCAGCACCAAGTCCACTAATTACACCTTTCCATTCGCCTGTTTGGATGTTTACGACATTGCCTGAAAGGATGTTTACTTGAGGAAATCTCAAAAAATGAGCATACGTGTAAAACCAAAAATGACTTATAAAAAAAAAAAGAAAACTTTACAATAATTATGGATAGAATATATTGGAGATATATAAGCACTAAGTTATGTATGAAAAGCTAAAAAATAACGTTAAATAAAGCTAAATGACAGAAAGATAAACATGAAGGTAAATGATATGATTACAGCTAGTAAAACCAAAAAAAGCAGTACCAACCCAACAAACCAGTTACTTTATTTCTCAAAGACCACAACTTTCGATTGGTCTTGCGCGCCAAGCTTTCATATGTAGCATCACCCAAAAGACGTGAGAGAACTGTAAATTCCAGTAATAAACTTCCAGCTCCAGCAACACAATTTTCGTTAATCGTTCCTTCCTTCACTCCACTTTGCAAATTTACCCGTGGAAATGGTATCCCTAAAACAAATGTAAAGTTTCGTATATCTTGCAGGTAAGGGTTTTTAATAAAATTAACGTTTAACGATCAAATATGATAACACGTAACCAACCGGTTTAACGATCAAGTATGATAACACGTAACCAACCGGTTTTAGTGCCTTCAAAAGCTGGTAACAGACGAATAGCCAAATCATGTGCCATTGTAAGTAATTCTCCATCATAATCACTTAGAGCATAATTACCTAACATATGGGAATCATCAGTAAGGATCAGATGAGCTGACAAAAGAGATCCGATTATCCTGAAAAAAAAAAGAGAAAAAAAAAAGTTGAAAGACATGGGAAGCGGAAAACAACGAAAAAACACCAATAACTATTACCATCTCATACATCAGCAAATCGCCCAGAATTAATGTTTTTATATTGACGAGATTTCTTTTTAATGATTATTAGCCTGTCAATGGACGTGGCTATATTGCATGCTTAACATTTCGTGGAGTTGTAGCAAAGCTACGACTACTTTCATAGAAAAACTTGATATTCAGAAGCAAATGTGAGAGTAATTCAATTTGCATATCATTTTAAAAGTGCAATAACCTAATCGTCGCCTCAAACACTTGTACTGTAACGTTTCTCTCAAAAGAAACGTTATCGATCACCATTCTAATAGCATTATGGAATTCAGTTCGATTCCCAAAAACAACCAGAGTATCCAACGACTCAATCTAGAAATGGATCATGGATTGGGACACTTTTTATGGATCATGGATTGGGACACTTTTTCCAATAATTATGAAAAACCAGTTCTCTAATTACATCGCATGCTTTGTTTGGAACATCGAATACCATAACTGCCGAATAAACGTTAACATACCAAAGAAAGTGAATAATCGCCAAGAACATCGTTAATATTGATATTGGATCTATAAAAAGCGTATTTCAGGATATAAAATGTGAAAAATTGGTATGCTACCGCTAAAAACACTGTAAAAACAAGTAAAAAAGTATATGTAAAAGTTTCTTCAAGATGAAGATAATAAAACTGCACAATCACTACACATTCAAATGAACTTTCTTTCCAAATACCCTACAAGAAAACTTAAAAATTTTCCTCTTCTTCCACGAGAATTTCATTGAAATCATCTTCAAAAGAAAAACAGCAGAACTTACGGATGAAGATGGTCATAGCCACGACCGGAACAATTAATTGGATCCAATTCATCCATAGGAAAAGCATGCCGGATATAATTTTCATATGCAAAATAGAACATTTCTCGCGTTGCTTTTTTCGCCTCCAGTAATTCTTCCGGTGTAAAAGATCCATATTTCGAAGTATAGCTATCACGAAAAAATGGATAAACGCTTGCACCCGTAATAACCATTACTAATGCCCATAATACGAAAAGATCTAAGAAACACACCATATTTTACCACAATGTTTGCAAATAAACCTGAAGGAAAAATATATTCTATTAAAGTGATGAGCACTGCAAATATGCAAAATTGAATTCAAATTAAAGCTTAACATGAATAAATGATTTTGGAAGACGTTAAACACTTTTAAGATTTAAGCAAAATCTATTTGTAACACATAACCAACCTTAAACTGCAGTGAAGATATTTTGAAATAAAAATGCAGAATGGCACCTTGCATGAGCTCATGTCCAGTTCAACATTTTAAGCCAGAATTTAATCATTTTAACTACAAATATGCTCGGCCACACAAATCTACAATTATAATGGAAGAATGACAAAAGAATAAAAAGAAAGAAAAGAATGACAAAAGAAAAAAAAGAATAAAAGAAACATAAGAAAAAAAAATAATCGAAAAAAAAATTTTTTTTGCCAATTCGTTGAATCAATTTTAGAAAGAAAAGAAAAAAAAGTCCTCAATTGTAAATTTTAGATTATAAAAAAAGAAAAAAACATCGCTTATAAATTTCTCAACTAACTCTCATAATACAATTTATACACTTAATTTGAACACAGATTTCACTCACATTCCTAAATAGTGTTTAAATGAATAAACTATGAAGGATGCACGAAACACGTACACTTGTACGTCCACAAATCAATACTGATATAAGTAAACGTTGAACAAATTGAAATCCTACAACGCTTTTTATAATTTTGTAATTGGAATGTTGCCAATTTTCAGCAAGAAATAATTTCCTCTTAGTATGGTTTTGTTTGTAAATTGTAGGATTTGCTGATTGCTTTGTTTATTTGTTTCTTTCTTTTTGTTCATTTGTTTGTTTTTTTTTTTTTTGACTCATATGATCTGATAATTTCGTCGTGATATTTGTGCTGAACAAATATATTACAAATAAAATTTATGACGAGTTGAGATTTAAACTTGTTAATTTGGATTTGAATATTTAAATTTGAAATGTTTTGTTTTTGCTGTATCCTTTTTTAATATTAATATTGGAAAGAAAATTTTTCATTGATTATATTTAATGCTTTGCTTATTTTTTTTTTTTATGTTTTCATCAAGTATTAAAATGGACAAAAGTTGTTCATATAGATTTTGTTTATATTTTTATTATTTTCCTTGATATTTCTTCACTTTGTTACCTTTTACTTGTTAATTTCGGTTCATTTCATTAGGCTTTGAGCAGTTTTTTTATTGTTTTTACTCGTTTTTTTCACCTCAAACTTAATCATTTAATGGGAATGAAAGGTAGTACAATATCATCTGTTGATAACCTTTATATTGTATTGCTCATATTTCTCAGTGACAGACTAACATTTAAGAAAGAGATAGTTACTGGTTCAGTCAAAAGTACTTTCGTGCTGGAAATTCGGGTTACAAATTTCGCGGACTGTGTAATGTGTTGCAGTATTGTGCTTTAATCTAACATTCAGTTCACCTAGAGAAATGGCTGAAAAAGGAAGACAGACAAGTCCAAGTAGCGAAAGTAATGATGATGAAAAAATAGTTATGGAAACACCGGCAAGCGATTTAGTCGTGACTAAATATGCAATGGCAGCCGATATCGTTAATGCTGTCTTGAGAGTGAGTTTTATCTGTTCACATAAGTCATTTGATGAAATTTAATGTTGCTCTATGCAAATGCATTAGAGAAAATGTTTTAACAGGTCGAATCACGGTAAATGGTTGCTTACGGATAGGAGAAATATCTTTTAAAGCAATATGTAATAGAAACAAAAATTTGTAGGAACTAATAACAGCTACAAAAGACGGTGTCGAAGTAGGTGAAATTTGTGATCTCGGCGATAGGCTTATGAATGAGCGATTAGCAAAAGTTTTTAAAAAGGAAAAAGATACTTTGAAAGGTAAAATATATGTTTATCTTCCATTTTTCATAATTGAAATAGTTTTATTGTATGAATCAATATTAGTTACATTTTCATGTTATTACATTTCCCTTATTAACAGTTAGAATCCTCTTAAAATTAATAATGATTTTTCATTTAACAAATATATTAGTTGATATAGTTTCTTATCTGATTCTATAGCTCTATGATTAGCTGTCGTTTACTTTGATTAGGTTTGCTAGTGGGACTGAATTATCCTGCAATAGATTTAACCGTATCTTTTCATTGTACTGCATGATATTCTTTTATAGGCATCGCTATGCCAACATGTATTTCAATCAACAATTGTGTGTGTCATTTTTCTCCATTGCGAAGTGATCCACCAATAATTATCAAGGATGGGCAAATGGTGAAAATTGATCTTGGAGCTCACATTGATGGTTTTATTGCAACTGTTGCTCACACCGTCGTTGTCGGAGCTTCTCTAGTACGGTTGCATTTTTTAGCTTTAGCAATAACACGCATGATAAATGTTGTGTTTATGTTGGGGAAACTTTTACATTTAAAATAAAGCATCCACATTTGTTAATTTTTGGTAACAAGTAATGCTTCATTAGTACAATTCCTAAACTTAAATCACATGAGTTTTGTAATAGTGATGGGAAACAAATTATTTTTTATATTATGTGGTCTTGAATTTCAATTCAGGAAAATAAAATAAAAGGCAGGATGGCAAACGTGATGCTTGCTGCGTACAATGCTATGGAAGCAGCAGTTCGCATGCTTCGTCCAGGGTTATATAAAAACATAGAAATTACAGATATGATCGATAAAATAGCAAATATATATAAGGTTTGTAAAAGTAAATACATTCTTAAATGACGTGAAATATTCTTGTATTGGATCGGAACAGAAGCGAATCGCCTTCCATTAGTTTAGTTCAATTATTAACATGATTGACATGGGGTTTGTATTATCTAACGGATTGTAGAATTATATTTTTTTGTCGCTGACTTACTGAACTTTATTCCATTATTCGACTGCAACTTCCTTCATTTTACTGCCATGGTCTTTAAAAAATTCAGTAATCCCAAAAATCATAAATTTGTCTGGTTGCGTATCTTGTATGTTTTTCCCATGAAAATGATTTTTTTTTTTTTTTCTTTCAGGTAAGGCCAGTTGAGAATATGCTGTCACATGAATTAAGGAAGAATAAGATTGATGGGGAGAAGCAGATTATTCAAAATCCTGGTGAAAAGCAACGTTCCGAAATGACGAAATGTAGTTTTGAAAAATTTGAAGTGTATGCTATTGATATTCTAATGAGCACTGGTGAAGGTCTGTTTTGCTTTTAATGTTTTATTTTTGTTCTTTGCGGTTGGCTACGTTTATACACTTTTCTGTTTGTAATAACGTGTACAGCATCTGTTGTCCTTTTCTGTTCGTCTGTCTCTTCGATTTTCTTCCCTCACATAATTGCAGGAACAATAGTCGCACTTATTCCATGATACGGTATTAGCAAACACATATTTAGCAGTCTTATTCGACAAAAATTTATGGTTTCGCTCCTTCCTGTATTTTTGCAAATATCTAACTCAAACATTGGTAGCTGTTCTTTCCAGCCATCCTAAGAAATTATAAGCTACTGGTGAATGTAATGGGTTTTTTTTTAAGGCAAAACTCGTATTCTGGATTCGAGAACTACAGTTTATAAAAAAGTGGATGATCTCGTTTACTCACTCAAAGTTAAAGCGTCAAGGTATGTTGAATATGCTTACATTTCTTTACACATTAAGCAATTTTGTGTAATGTTTTTCTCCAACACTTTTATTGCTTTTGACTGTGTTATTATCCTTTTCGATGATTTTAGTATTTGTTGAACTACCTATTTTTTACACTCTTACATTTACTTTTTTTTAAATTTTAATTTAGTTAAACTTCTGATTCACTGCATTGTCGTTGGTTCCATATTTAAACAGAAATTTGTGTCACCATTCGTTAATAGAAAATACAATAGATGTTTTTAGTTTTTACTTAGATTCACATTGTTTTTTTTTTTTGCTTCAGAATGTTTTTATCGGCAGCAGTGAACAAGTACGGACTAATGCCATTCACTTTACGGTCATTCGAGGATGAGAAACTAGCGAAAATGGGTGTAGTGGAATGTGAACGTCATAATCTAATGCGGCCATATCAGGTTTGTTTGTTTGTTTTTTATAACAACCATATACTTCATTTTTTCAAAACATTGATTTGAATATAAATTAATTCAAGATCCTTTGGAATGTAAATTCCCTTCAGCGTAGGAAATTTTGTAGAGGTCAAAACTTTATGGTGGAACTACCCGCACAGCAAGATTTTCTTGGCAATAGTAAAAAATGCTCAGTGACTTAACTGAATCGTACTTAAACTTACTGCTTTTTATCCTATTTTCGGTTTACTTTCTCTTATTTTTGTTACATTCTGGATAAACGAATGTAAGATTTGAAAACCATCAAAGAGAAGTTTTTAGTTATCTTGAGCAAATGTATTTTTCCTTTTATAACTAATTCATCCGTTTTTTAGAAGTAGTGAAATTGGTGCGATAATCAGAATAAATCTTTAGGTTTTCTATGAACGAGATGGTGAGTATGTGGCGCAGTTCAAGTCTACAGTATTAATCATGCCTAATGGATTATTGAAGATTACTGGGTTTCCTCTTGATATGAATACGCTAGAAAGCGATGTAAAAATCGAGGATCAGTTGGTTGGTTTTTTAGACAAAACAAATATTCTTAGTTATTTACTTTGGAGCTTGGAATAAATTTTTAGTTCACTTCCATTTTGATTAAACATGATTAATGAGTCCTTCCTTGAAAATTGTAGTGAGATCTGAAATTTATGATTGGAGTGTCTTCGAAGTCTTTCAGAAAGGTAGCTGTTTTCAATTTTTGATTTCAATGAACTCATGATTAGATTTCATTACGGGTCATTTTCCAGATCACATCTTTATTAAACTCCTCACTGAAACCTAAAAAAGCAAAAAAGAAGCCGAAAAGCGATAAGAAAGACGAGAATAATGGCACTCAGAATAAAGATGGTATTATGGAGCAGAAAGGGAATGTTGATACCCAAAGTGTGAATTTGAAGATTCGGAATTTGGATAAGAAATCTGTGCTATCTAATAATAGGGATAGTGTGAAAGCCGTACAAGAAAATTAAAAACAGTTGATCATTAAAACTAGCATATTTGATAAAGGCGGGTTTTGAGAATATGTTTTTATGGTCGTGATAGCAATTGTATGCATCATCGGATTTGTTAGTCTGCCCTTTTTTCTTTCTTAAAATCAATGAATACATTGGCCTTTTTGTTATTGTTTGGGTGTTTTTTTTTTTTTGTTTGTTTTTTGAAGCGTTTTTGATTGGTGCGCGCTTGTAATATTGTCTTTTTAAGGTAGCATCTGGAAAGTATTTTGAAATATAGTAAGTTTTAGGATTGGTTATGCACAACAAACGATGCAGCATAAACGTAACAAGTGGGTAGATTAAATCATATAGTTAAGTGGTATTCGAAAATATTATAAGTGACTTTATTTTATAGTAATGGCTTCACACTTTTCCCAAATAGACCTGCATAGGGCTATAATGACCAGATAATTCTGATGCAAGGAAGATAAATGTTTTGCGGTTGTTGTTTTTCATTAACTTTTTCATTTTCAGAAGGAGGAGAAAATTTTAAAGGAATAGCGGTAAAAATATTGTGTCTTTGGTTTATCAGGCACATATATTTACAATGTTTTCAGATTTTAGATCATTTCCAACTATAGTTGATGTTGTAATTTAATTCCTGATGTTGTACCTTATTTTCTCATTGTGAGCATACTTTTAAGTAAACTTGGCATTTCGAATTAAGTCGAGATTCCAAGAACGAGCTTGAAGCAGTTTTATGTGTTTTCATAATTTTTTACTTTTTTATACTTTTCAAATTTCAATGTTATACTATGTAAGTCATAAACTGTTGAGATACTAGAAAACTTGTTCTGTGGTTTCTCTGTTCCTTTGCCTCCTGTGAGATAAAAGCTGAAGAATGAGTTTCAGCAATTGGTACTTCAAAGAAAATTTAATGTCGTCGGAATCAGAACATGGAAAGATCAGTCAAGTCTTGAGTCCAGTTATGCTACATTGAATTAACTGAACAGAGTTAGTAATGCAATTTTCGGATTTGCAGCAGTGGTGTATGCTATATATCCGATTGGTCGTCTAAAGTTTTCCGTAGTTAAACTAGTTCTAGCGAAGGAGATTTGACTACGTGGCACACTGATGATTGGAAATAACGCTCAGATACATTGTCAGCACTATCACCTACTAATCTGGATATATTCAGTTGTTAACTGCAAACAGGATAAATTATTCGTCCTTTTTTTTTCGGCTCAATGGAACAAACTGTTTTCAATTTTCGTTCGTGAAAATAATGAAAAGCAAGTCCAAATACTTTACACCACAAAGCGAAAGCGATGCGAATTTCCTTTCAATGCATCTTATCAGTTCTATTATCATTATACATGATCCAAACACATCACTGCACTAATCACTAAACTATTTTAGTCCAGCGAATTATTTTTATACCTCTAAAGATACCATACTAGGCAATTCGTTTAAAAGATTCAGAAAATAATTCATTTAAAACATTCTCTCAACCAGAATAATCAGTCTCAATTCATCTATTACACAAAAACATAAACTTGAGAGGAAACCAAGGTTGCATATTCACATTACTGCATGTAAAACAACAAATATTAGTTAATGAGTTAAAAAGATTAATCATTTGCCAGTAAATATCCTTCGATCAGCAACAACTACTCGTCCATTACTGTCCATTAATCATCAGTACAATAAAAAAACAATTAATTGGTAAATATCTTTTAATTGTTGCTAAATGCTCACCAATTAGCTCACCAAATAAACATCTATCAGGTAAATATTCACTAATCGATAGGTAAATATTAACCAATCAACGTGCTGTTAGTAACTTCTCATCAACCAATCAATCATCAATATTTTCTGGAAGAAGGTATTTTAAACGAAAAACACATTCAGTGCCTTATTCGTGCTGGTTACAAGCTTGCAGGTGGTTGATTCATTGTTTCTGTGGTGCAGGTTGGATTTGCTATGTGGAAAGGATGAAAAGGGTAGATTTTGGGGGAATTGTTTAAGAGAAATGAGGGACGGAAGATGTGGTGGTACTATGCAAGGGAACATCGTACTATTTAGGGAGACGGTCGTATTATTTAAAGGGGATACTGTACTGCTGAAGGGATGATCGTATTATTCAAACGGTTGGTGGTACTATTTAAGGGGAGATCATACTATTTGAATGGGGACTGTATTTGAAGAGGCGACCTACTATTTGAAGAGGCAACCGTACTATTTGAGGGAACGACCGTACCGGTTGATGAAGGGAGAAGGAAAGTCATTTTGGTGGTACTATTTAAGGAGAATTGTCATTTTGATGTTACATGCACGGTCGTTTTGATTGTAGTATTGAACAGGGATAAGTCGCTTTGGTGTTGCTCGTGGAAATTTTACTCAACATAACAAAACGCTAGAAGCATGGGTCTCTTCAGAAAGCAAACCTTAGTTTATATGATACTTTAAGTAAATATAATTCCCCATAAAACAATGTATATAAAAGTTGTTGCTGTGATTTTTCAGTGTAACAACAAACAATGGATATTACTGCATCGAATAATTTGGTGTGCCTTATCACTAATCTTTTTATTAATTAAATATTCATTGCATTATTTACTCATCTTTATAAATTCATCCTCATGCACATGTTTAAAATTTTAGAAAGATTTCCTCGTTTTCAATTCAAAAGCAAGTTAGATTATTCCGTTAAGCACAACAACATAATTATCCCGTTTTTACATATGTCCATAATTTTAGGCAAAAATAAATTTTTTTGTTTCCTATAAATTTTTGGTTTATTGTGAAAGATTGATTATATTTTACGTTTCTAACGCAATCAGAAATTATCTGTGAATTTAGTCCGAAACTGCAATGAATTCACATTCGTTAATAATTAAATTACCGTACTTCTTTCCATTCATTTTCAGTTACCTCTATTCCTATCTATTTCCGTTTCACTGAACATTCTTCATGTTAATTTTTTCTTACTTAAATGAAGTTTTAGGAAATAAACCGTACGGACCAAACAGTAACATCTAATCCAACTTTACGCCTATCCTCAAGTTTTTAGCAATATAAAATCACGTTTGTTTTGTTATTCCTCATTATCAGATTTAGGAAACCGTATCCTGAAGATTGGTGATGACATATCCTGAAATTCTGGGATACCGCATCCTAAAATCAGTAATGGAGCATTACGAAATTTGTGGATACTGTACGTTGAGGCTAGTATGCAAATTTTTTAGGCAAGTGGAACAGTCAGTGAAGTACTACTCAGTGAAGGAGAAGTAGTGTTGTCACGAACGAATGAAAATGAAGTGTTTACCGCTGGTTATATTCGGGTATAATTGGATAGATTTTTTTTTTTTTTTAGTTTGCTTTCGTTTTGTTACTCTACTGTTTTTAGGATGTGACAGAGTCGGAAAATGATTCGAGCACTACCCAGATGAATACCAGCGAGCGAATGTGGCAAATGCTTTGTGTAAGTCATGAATTTGACCAGAAAATCAAAAAAAAAAAAAAGACAGAAACCAGGAAATGACGAGAATCGCAGGGTTTTTAACACTGTCAAATACGTTTTGACAAAATGTTGTCTTTCAAGGTGTTGAGTTTAAAGATGGGTTCATATTTCCGTGTAAAATTGAAAGTATCAAGTAAGAGACTAATGCAAATAAAAAAGCCTGAGCTTCCCCATTTCTGACTAATTATTACTGAAATAGTAAAATAGAAGCCATATGCTAATGAGTGTTATTAGATGTAATCAGTAATGTATTACCGAAAACAATACTGATTTAGTTGAATGCACTGCGTAAGATTGAAGATATTCTGAATTTGAAAATGTGAGACTAAATTTAGCACATTAATTTCGAAATATAATTTGATCTCAAACGTTCAAGTAGGGTTTTGTTGCAGAACGACCTCAAGCACAAACTTATAACGCCTGGTCAGGAAGTGGATGTTCAAAAGGAAGAATTTGCAGCGACACAGGAAGCTGTCAGTATTAAATTATAATTGTATGAATTATAACTAAAGTTTTTAGTATTTATCATTAAAAAAATAAAATTTATGTTTACAAGACTGTCAAAATTTTAGCTTGTTAAAGCTGAAGGACAAGTCGAGTTACTGCAGGCAGAGGTGACTGAAAGGAACACTGAAATCGGTGAGCTGAAGGCGATCATTCAAGTATATATTCGAATAATTTTGCATTTTTTTTTTTTTTTTTTTGCACATACTTAGAAATGTAGGAGTAACAATTATAAAACTAGTAAGAAAAGAATGAAAAGCTTCAAGGCAAAAAACAAGGCAGAGAAGTTTTCCAAAATGCATATTTACATTTTGCTTTTTTTTTTCTTTTTTTTTTTTCATACTGTTTGCTTCATTTTTAAAGGTTAGATAAGTTTGAATAAATAGCATCAATGAAGTTAAATTTGAATTTAATTCATTGTCTTGTTCATTAAATGTCTTTTATGTGTATAAAACTTATTTAGAAAACATTGTAATATTCACTTTAGAATCTGCGCAGAAAAGCAGCAGAAGATCTTGAGAAACAAAAGATGGAATTGCTGCAGTCTATTAATGAGAGCTTAGCGGCAGCAGAACACATGTATTGTGCAAGCCAGGCCAAAGTTGCGTATCTTGAAACATTGACTGAGAAGATGTATGCTGATAATGCAGGACTTCGTGAGCGCCTCAGCAGTGCTCTTTCTGATCTCAGAATTGCGAGAGCTGGAGCAATAGATTCGAAAGAATTCTATCGTTTGCTGAAGAAACGCCTCATAACAATCGTTGAGAAGTTCAAATTGAAGGCGGAAAACCCACAACTCACATGGATGGGTGAAGAAAACATTCATTATGCAGTTGATGAATTTGAAATGGCGATTAAAATTATCCTATCTGACGATCCTCACCTTGCTCCATTGGCTGAACGTTTTATGGTTTTCCTAGAAGCACGAAACGCAGAATCGGATATGGTATGCAATTTGTCTATCTTGTGGTCTCCAATGTCAATTTTAAATTAAATTGCTGAAGCAGATTAAGCCCAAATTATAAAAGAAAAAATTAATTTTTTTGTTAAAAAATTCCAGCAAGCAACATCACTGGAAGGTAACCTTCAGCATGGATATTCAGGCCTAATACGAAATTCTTTAATGGTACATCACTTTTCACACTAAATTTCATCCTTTTTCTGTTTTTCTTCAAAAATCATACGAAGTTAAAGTTCTATTCTCTCATGAAGTTCGATAATTTTAGGATTTTAAATCGGAAATGAATTCTGAAACCCATTTCGTGCTGCAAAAGTTTAATAACAATCAAACGAAGGAACTCTGTAAAGTTGTATGGAGCATCATAAGTCGTCTGGATGCTACTGAACAGGTAACAATTATAACTTAGTAACAAATGTTATTCTTTACTTTCGAAAATTCCAAAAGTAATCTATTTTTTAAATTAATAAGGGTTTTCGATTTATCATATTCCAGAAGAGTGTGCTGTTAAGTAATTGAGTGTGAAATCAAAATAGAAGTTGAAATTGAATTTTCAGAAAATTATTCCCAAGTATTTTTCAGAAGCTTGACAACGGTATAATGAAACGTGTGGATCAGATGATGAATATACTTACTACCATCAGTAGCAAACACTGTGATGATAGGGCTAACAAGGAAATGGAGACATTAATGTTAAGCTTGAAACGCTTTTCGAAGCATTCGATGATTTCCGCCGTGACATCAAAGTAATCAAAGAGGAGCGCGAGAATAAGTTGAAGAAAGCTAAAACAGAACAGCTTAAGCTAAAAACAACTTGCGCTTATGTTGATTATTTGAGCGGTGAGCATAAGGTACTGCTTGATTAATTTCGCTCCAATTTTTATCTTTGTAGTGCAAAATGAATAAAATTGTAAATTATTTCTACGTAAATTTATTTCAGAAGCTTGAAAAGCAGGTTAAGAACGTTCAGTCGTGTTTTGAGAAGATAGAGAAAGGATTCCATAGCACTTTAGCTATGCAAACAATAGACTCGGCTGCAAATAAGACTAGATTGAAAAGCAATGAAAACCTAAGCGCAGCAACTCTATGTTCGATAAATGGAAAAAGTGCAAATATGATGAAGGTAATTACAGTAAATTTTAACAATTTTGTGTTTTTATGAAGAAAATTTACAATTATTATTTTTATAATTTACTCTTGTGTACATTTATTGAATTCCTTCAGCTCCCAAAGACAGATTAGCCTGTTCTTACATGAATTACCACCACAGAAAATAAAGTTTCAGTGTGTTATGTCACTTGCAAAAGGAAGAATAATTGTATCCTAATCTTCAGACGACATAATTCGTTCATGTTGCAGGAAAATGAACAGCGTGCTAAAGTTTCTACTGGACAGGAAACGGATTGTCAGATAATTCAGAAGAAGGGCAGTTTCAGTAAGTTTTCAATCGAATGTTTAATCATTTCTAAAAATTGTAGAATCAGTCTTTGATGATTCTATCAACCATATTATGCAAGTATAATAAACTACTTTTTATTATAGCTGTAAAATTGGGATACCACTACTATGCATTTTATCATATTACTTATGGCTGTATGAAAAGCTCATAGTTAAGTGGATAAAAATGAAACTCTAAAATACCTTGTGATGAACTTTCATTTGGTTTTGAACTGGATTAACTTTTGCAGAGCAAGGTTTAATGAATTTGGGATTGAAACTTGGATTTAGAAAACAAGTGTCCGTCTCAACATGAACGATACTCATTTATTCTAACTTCCCCATTCATGCATTTATGAGTTTGACGTTTTGCTTTAAAATATCAAAATTGGAACTTATGGATATATGCTGAGCGTTTGTGCTTATATAAGTATTTATGCTTATATAAGTGCTACGCTTACATATCCATAAGTTGGTTTTTTTGTTGAAAAATTGAATTTTTTCTTTAATACTACATATAAGTGCTTGCTTGTATACAAGCACCACAGCATTATGCCCTTACCATTTCAGAGAGCCAATAAATTTTTATATTCTGTATACTGATTTCCATTCAATATATATAAGATGAGATGAATGGTTAATAAAATTTTCCTAATTTTTTTTTTTAAAAAAAAATTTGTGACTGAAATATCACTTAGTTGGGGTAATTTTTCTTTTATTGAAGTAAAAATTGGTTTAAAGTGATTTTTAAAACTCTTCCAGAATTATTTGAAAATTTAAGACTTTTCAATCAGCATATAATGGCGATTAAAATTTAGAATATCTAATAAAAGGAAATATATTGCATTTGAAAAATTCTAAATTATAATTTATTGGATTGAAAATTCGGCTCACTTATTTTGTTTTTTGATATACTAAATGTTAAAATGGAAAACAACAGGTATCTTTAGTGTCAGTTTTAAACTTAAAGAAATGTATTTTAGCAAGTTAATCACTATTGATATTAGTTCTAAACTTTCAAAAAAGAGCCTAATAAGTGAACTTTAGCATTCACTTTCTAATTTCTCCAGTAATTATATATGGAACTATCATTTTCTAACAATCTTAAAAATGTTAGCATCTGCAACAATCAAATTTACCTGGTAACTTAATCTGTGCTTATATTCTATTGTAAAAGAAATACGTCAAAATATTTCATGTCATGTAGTAATGTGTAACACATACGAAAGTAAAATGCATATATATGACAAAATACGATAAGAAAATTAATTTAAAGAAAAAAAAAATTACATTGAAAAGATCTTCAATTTATTTACAATAAATTGATTTAATTTAAAATTGATTTTATTTATTATCAAATAAACACTGAAGAAAACGAGAGAAAGAGGAAGGAAGCTGGAAAAGATAGAAAAGTAAATGTGAGAGTTGAATAAATTTCAAATTATAAATTCTCTATTATTATTCAGTTCATTCATGCATTCATTGGAGTAGAGAAATGAATTCAAATTAAACTAGAAAAATAATAGTATAAACTTTTGGGTTTAAAAATAATAATATTAACTTATTCTGTTTTTGGTAAAAAAAATTTCCTTGGGAAAGTTCAAAAATTACATCCAATTTAGTTACAACATTTTTTGAAGCAATATTTTTATGTTAATTAGGTTAATGATTAAAATTTGGCTGAGTGGTATAAATGGCTAAGTAAATAGTTCATGGTAGTAATTAATGATAATAACAATATAATAATAATAATTTAATAAATTCAAATCCAATAAATGTATTGTCGTGAAGAAAAATTAATATGAAAAATCAAAAAAGAAAAAAAAAAATCACTAATGAATAATGAATGATTATGAGAGATAAATGATAAATTAAAAAAAAAAAAAGTTAATAAAAAATAATAATGATAACTTGAATAAATTTACAAATTGTATTATTTTGTATTATTGAAATAGCTAATTATAGTTAAATATTGAAAAAATATGAAATAGATAAAATTTCAACCAAATACAGAGAAATAATTTATTAAATTATCAGCACGAAAAAGGAATGGTAATTTCTTTCCGCAATCACTTTATGATAATAAACCTTCTTTATCAGACTTTTTATTTTAATACATAACTAATGCAATTATAAAATAATAATTTCAATGGTTTATAATTGCATCAGATAAACAGTATCGATCATTTGAACGATTATGATTGATATAGTGAAAAAGTGATAAATGTCTTTTAGTATTTTCTTTTTTTCAAATTATCAATTCTGATTGATGTCATTAAGTAATAACGTTTCCTAGTAATTCTTTTTTTTTTTTTTTTTTTTTCGGATCATGAATTTCAATTGGTGTGATTGATTAATAATACGTCTCTTAGTAATTTCCTTTTTTCCTGATTATAAATTTTAACAACGTAATATGTTTCTTTCGGTAATTCTTTTTTTTCTTCCCATTTTTTTTTCATATTTTTAATGATTGCTATCATTGTGTTAAGAAGTTATAAATGAAAATATAGTCTGTTATTTTTTGTATATGTATATACATATTTATTAAATAAATTATTTATAATTAATATTTTCACTAGAACAGCTTGAAAAACATTCAACCATTTATATTTCATAAACTATTTTAACAATTTGATTTTTATCATTTTCACTCATTTTTATGTGTATATTAACATACAGCAAAATTATCAATGTTCAATTTTATTATTAATTGCATATAATCATATATAAAATCTTAAAATGTTAGAAATTTCAAAATGTTAGAGTTTGGAATCAAAAGGAAAAAGAAAAAAGAAAGTGGAACCATAAGTGAACTATTTTGATTTATTGAATAAACAATTTTAAGAATGTTGGTTTTGAGTAATTAATATTTCTCAGAGGAATTTAGAAATTTTTCAGAAGTTTTTTGAATTTACAAGCATAAATATAAACATATGCTAACGTTACACGTTGCTACGTTTATTTCTTACTTATTAGTAACGTGATAATAATTAGATTTATTGATTTAGAAGCTATTATACCACATAATGTAATTTATTCCACTAAAATAGAATTGATAAAAAGTAATCATTGACATCAATCAGTTTCTGATCTTTGTTGTTATTCCTTTTTTTTTCATGTTTTTTTTTTTTTTTGAAGTTTCTTTTTTTCCTTTTAATGACATTTTAAATTATCGTAATTATGTGTATACATATTTACTTACACATCTGATTATCTGTTTGTGTTAAAAAAGTAATTCTCATAAAAAAATTATTTATTCATTGAATTTCATATTAAGTTTCTTTGCACAAAAAATTTTGAAAATTATAAAGTATTAAAGTAATAAATGTTTAATTATGATCATTAATTAGAAAAAGGATGGTGCAGAAATGAATTTGTTTTATTTATGTTAAAAGAAAAAAAATAATTTCCATGAAAAAGAACTAAGTTGATTACGAAATCTCATAACAGTTCATTCATTCCCTCTAATTACGTCATTTCCTCAAAATGCAATCAGTAGATTTTGATATTTTTGTTTAGAATTGAAATGTCTTGATACAAAGATTTGTAGTTTCAAAATTTTATAAACTCTAAATTTCTGATATTTATTAACTAAAGAATCATTGCTGTTTTTTTTTTTCATAAATTTGTTAAGAAGGTGTTTCTATAATGACAATAATCAAAACTAATTAGAGTTTTTATTAAATCCTCATTAGTATTATTAATAAATTAAACAATATTCACTTCTATCCATGCATTATGTATATTAATTTAGTATCAATGTAGTAATAATAATAATAATAATAAAAGTAATAGAAATAATAATGAAACAACAATGATGATAATATCAAAAACACGTTATTGACAGTCTTAAACAATTTAATTTTATGATTAAACCTGTAATATTTTATGTTATTTTTTATATTTTGCAAATAAATTTCCAAATTATCACAACTCATCATTGAAACTTATAAAAGAAATTATCACAACTCATCATTGAAACTTATAAAAGAAATTATCACAACTCATCATTGAAACTTATAAAAGAAATTAAATGTTAGTGCATAATGGTTAGTCTTAATTATATCAAGAAGCTGTATTAACATCCATTTAATTTTTATTTTTTGAAATTTAGTTTTTTTCTACATTTGATATAAATTAATAACTGCTTATTAAAATCATAAATTATTTGATGCATTAGAATATTTCAAATGTTTGAATGCATATATTTTCATTTTTTCCGCTCTAAATTAAAACAGGAATGGTAGAAAAAAATCATTATTCAAAATGTTAAATTAACTATCAAATATTTGAAATGATAATCATTTTTTGAATATTCTGAAAAATTGAGTTATTAAAAGCTAACTAATGTAGACTCAGAAATAATCTACTGCATATATCATTGCATTGTAATTAATTACAACCATCATTAAATAATTAAAGTAAATGTGATTGATTTTTTTAAGATTGAAATTTAAAATTATTTTTTAATGCGATTTACTTATTTTGTTAGAATAATTTATTGTAAAAATTTTTGGCCAAATCTTTGTAAAATAAAATCAAAAGTCTTTCAACTAAAATATGGAATATTTGCAAATATTTTTTTTTTTGCAAATGAAATAATTCAAGCTAATCAAATTTAATTCAAATTATTCCAAAATTTAAAAAAAAAAAGGAAAAATAAAAACAAAAAATAAATAAATAAAAACGAACGAGGAATATTTTAAATGAAAATTTAGATTTATGCTGAAGAAAAATTTTTTCCCATCATTTAAATTAACAACACTCCCTGATTTGTTTTTGCTATTATCTGCCCCTAAATTATTTCATTTGTTGGAAATTAAATAATCGTTTTCTGGACGAACTGATGATGATGATGAAAATAATGATAATGCATATTAAGCTGATTACAATAAGAGAAACAACTGTGCTTTAATGATTCCAGAATTTCATTCCTATATGAAATGAAAATGAACACTGATAAAATAAAAGCAACAATAAAAAGTGCCATAAAAATAAATTAAATGAAAAATTTTCCAGTTTTATCCATTAAGTTTATGGAAAATACAGCGGAAGCGGTAAAATTTTGATATACTTAAATGAGAAAAAAATAGAAATATAATTATTTATTTTTTTGTTAAATTAATTAATTAGTTAATCGTCTGTTTTATTTGATTATTAAGCAGCAATAATTTTTTTGCTTTCATTTTATACGATATGTATGTAACAATTTGTTTGTTTGTTTGTTTGTTTTTTTTTTTTTTTTTTGCTCGTTCACTTCTAAACCACAGCATTAAAAGGTTTTTTTGCCATGAAAAAAATTTTCGTTTTTGATAT